AAAAAAAAAAAAAAAAAAAGAAGAAGAAGAAAAACCAAAAGTACAAACAACAGAAAGCAAACACATTAATAGCCGAGCTAGTCTCTCTTAAAATAATAATTTTAAAATTTAATCAATTCATTGCGTTGTCTGCTGGTCCCCTTTTAAATATGTTTGAGGGAGAACTCTGCTCAGAAAAACGATACAGATATCTACATTTTCACTGCTGAAGAAATTAAGCGGAATCTCCCCAAAGCGTGGGGTGAATGCAAGCCATCGCACTGTTATGTAATATACAGGAAGGACCACAGAAAAGAAGCGGCTCCATCTCCATAGTATCAACCCACGGCTGCAGAATGTCACTTTCCATTTGCAAGAGCTGGGGCATGCAATGCTCCGTACAACTTGGGGGTGGAGGGATGATACCAAACACTTCCCAAACCAGGGCCCCACCTCTCATCCTGTCCAATGGCTTTCTGAGATTACTCGCCACCTGTGAGCAAGAACACGTGGTTAGAAATCAGGCTCCCATTAAGCACCGTGTCCTTGGCTCACCTTCAAAGCCTGAGCTCCTTCTATCTTGGGTCGTTTGCAAGACATCCCTATTTCTTCCTGGGAAACAAGCTTAATTGATATATTTCCCAGTGTGTCGACTCAGTCCTGCAGGAACCCATGGTACTAAATTAAAAGCTGTGTTTCACATTTTGAATGAGATGTTAGTCATGTCTGTATTAAAATTAATGAGAGCAGCAGCCCAAGCCGCAAACTTCAGTTTCTTCAAGGCAGCCTGAACACCCTGTCCAAAGTGCCAAGGGAGAAAATGCTGTTTGAGCCAACGACCATATTTTAAACTTTAATAACATTTTGCTTGAAAATAAATAATACAGGTCCCATATGATTTGAATCTTTATATTACATTACATTTTTTTATTTTGAAAATTATTATCCTGTAATAGCTAATAACTAACCTCACATAGCACTTATTCTTTGCCAAGCGCCCCTCTCAGGACTTTACAATTGTCAAAGTATTTAATTCCCTGAACTACCCTATGAGGTAGGTGCTATGCTGATCCCTCTTTTACAGACCAGGAAACTGAGGCCAGGCATGTTAAACAACTTGCCCAGTGTTCCATGGTCAATAAGAGGTTTATCCAGGATGCAGATGAAGGCAGATTTACTTGAGTCCAATTTTTTTAACTTTACAGCAATGGCCCCCAATTGGTTGCGTGTTTCAGGAGACACCTGGAACACCTTTTAAAAACACCTATACTGAGGCTGATTCCAGAACAATTGTGTAAGGACTTTAAGACCAGGCTGTCACTCTGGACCCTGGGGTGGGAGTGGGAGTAGGGGTATTTAGGTAAAGCATTTAACTTCTCGAACCCTCAGAGGCCTCAGCATTTAACTTCTCTAACCCTCAGAGGCCTCATCTGTAAAATGGGCTAGTACTGGCCCCACCTGGTAAGGTTGTGGTAAGCATTAAATGTGCGGCGTTCACCTGTCCTAGTTTACTTAAACTGAGAGGTTTCCTGGGACTTGGGACCTTCAGTGTTTAAACGGAGACAGGGACAAACGGGTACTATTTGAACACCTTAATTAGATGAGCTGATGCTGTCATATCAATGCACACTTTACCTAGCATGCATAAGCATAGAGTCAGCAGTCATGATCCGATTAATGTTTTATACACTTCTATAGTACTTTAAAGCCACCCTTCATGCATACAAAGGGTTTTTAAGACAGGAACAAGCAGGTGCACTTGAAGGTCTGAAGAAGGCAGTGTGGGTGGAGCACATACAACAGGAAGTTGCTTTTGTCAATCTCAGTAGTAAGAAGGCAATAAAAAGCCAGAAAACAATGTACAGTGGTGGGGATCCAGTCTGGTCGCACTACTTGCACCACAACACTGGAGAGTTTGAGATGGGAAGAGGTCGAAATCATTACCACAGAGCAGCCAGTACAAATCACAAGTGTGAGTCCCACTAATGACACCACTTATGAGGACACAGACTCCAAATGCAGTGCTCAGCACACAGAAAGACAGCCCTAACCGGCACTGACTGCAGCTCTGTTCAACCCTAATGAACACAGTCATGGAAGAGGGGTGCAAAGATAAGGTCAGCATTGGAGGCAAAGGTGCTAACTTCTGACACTTGGCCTTTACTGATCCTTAAAATGTTATCGGTGTGTCTTTACCTTAGTACTACTAGTGGAGTCAGGACATTTCTAAAGAGTGCTGGGACTGTGACTTGATTGTTTCATGTCTTGTGGGTCAAAATTCTTAGGGCGGAAGTTCAAAACCAACAAACAAAAATGCTTACCTTTTGCTCATGGCTTTTGTTCCGTTTCTTTTGTATTTCCTTTTATGAATTTATCTGTCACATTCAATAATAAGTAAATTTGAAAAAAGTTATAACACTGAAATTCTGGCAGACAGCTAATTTCTCGTAAGTTGAAAATCATATGAATGAGGGGGGCTTTTTGAAACAGCAAGCGGGAAGCAATGCAAAATCCCTTCACTCCCAGATGTCTTTGCCTCTTGCATGTCTACTCTTTTCCATTGACCCTGGGATTGCAAAACCCAGAGCCTTCACTGACCAGGCAGGTAATAGACATGAGCAATGCAGGCCTGGACCAGGAAAACCAAGAGTGCCGATGGGACCATGAAGGGCCTGTTACACCCTTATGAGTGTTAGAGCCAGGAGAGGGAGGCCATCCTCTTACAATGTAGCTCAGACTCCAGAATCATCAGCCTGGTCCCCCCTCTCAGAGTAAAGACCAAAGTTCTTATGGCCATGAATGATCGCACCTCCCTTCCCCGCTGCCCAGACCTTCCTCCATTTGTTTTAGATCTCTGCTCCTGTTTCCTGTGCTCCAGCCAAGCTGGCCTCTGAGCTGAACTTGGGAGATACCAGGTGGGTCTCAGCCTCAGGACCTTTGCCCATGCTGTTTCCAGAGAACCATGTCACTGAATCCCTTACCTTTTTCAGATCTTCACTGAAATGTGAGTTTCTCAGTGAGATTTTCCTTGGCTATTCTTTTAAAGATTGCATCTCTTATCTCCTGCATTGTTGCTCTTCCTTGTTTTGTTTTTTCTTTTGAGCATTTGCCATTACCTGACACAGGACATATTTAACTATTTTATTTGCTGCCTCTCCCATTCAGAAATGTAAGCTCCATAAGGGCAGGGATTCTGTTATTTTACACATATATAATTACACATATATATTTTTAATATATATGTTTTACATATAATATATAACATATATATTTAATATATTGTTTTATATATAATATAACATATATATTTTATATTATATATTATATAATGTATGTTTCGTATACTATATAATATGTATGTTTTACATATAATATATACTATATATTTAATATGTATATTTAATATATATTTATTATATATATTATTATTCAGTATATATATTAAATATATTAAAATTCAGTGCCTAGAAGAATACTTGGCAATATAGCACTTGACAAATATTTGTTGAATAATGCACAAATTAAAGATGAATCCTCAAACAAGAACTACACCTCTGCTTAAAGGGAGAGAGTATAGTGAGGATGTGGCGAATAAAATACGTTGGTGGGTAGAGTGGATCCTGGTGGCAGCCAGTTTGCCAGGTTTCCATCACCATTTCATTGAGTCAATTTACTTTTTTTTTGAGATGGAGTCTCGATCTGTCACCCAGGCTGGAATGCAGTGGCACCATCTCGGCTCACTGCAACCTCTGCCTCCTGGGTTCAAGCAATTTTCCTGCCTCAGCCTTCCAAGTAGCTGGGATTACAGGTGTCCACAACCACACCCGGCTAATTTTTGTAGTTTTAGTAGAGATGGGGTTTTGCCATGTTTCCCAGGCTGGTCTTGAACTCCTGACCTCAGGTGATCCACCTGCCTCGGCCTCCCAAAGTGCTGGGATTACAGGTGTGTCTGGCCCAATTTACTTTTTTATTATCACACAGGACCTTTCTATACCTTGTCATGGAGAGAAGTGCATGAGAAGTAGAGACAGGAAATAAAGGCAAAGGTGAGGAAACAGAAAGAAACTCAAGAGACTTTTAGACTAAGTTGGGCATGATGACATGGTGGCCCAAAGACTAGTTGGCATCAAAAAACAACTTTGGTGGACTCACATAGGATTAAAACAAAAATAAAAACTTTTTTTTTTTTTGAGACGGAGTTTCGCTCTTTTTGCCCAGGCTGGAGTGCAATGGCACTATCTCAGCTCAACACAACCTCCACCACCCGGGTTCAAGCGATTCTCCTGCCTCAGCCTTTCGAGTAGCTGGGATTACAGGCATGCGACACCACAACTGGCTAATTTTTGTGTTTTTACTAGAGACTGGGTTTCTCCATGTTGGTCAGGCTGGTCTTGAACTCCCGACCTCAGGTGATGCACCCGCCTCGGCCTCCCAAAGTGCTGGGATTACAGGCGTGAGCCACCGCGCCCGGCCAAAAAAGAAACATCTTAAAACTAAGGATACTTCAGTTTAAAACAGAGATATCTGGCTTCTCTAGAACAATTGGAGACCTGTCAAAGGAGACCTTCTGTTTCTGCAGGACAAGGATTGGCCGACCCTGAGAGACACCTGTTCCATTTCTTTTCCATTCCCTATGGAGGCCCTGGAGACCCTGAAGCTCATCTGTAGGGTTAGCACATGCAGATGAGGAGAAATAAGGGCCAGGGTGGTCTGCAGTGGTCAGGGAGGGCTGCCTGCGGGAGGAGAAAGTGGAGGAAACAGAGCTGAGCCTGGAGGCATAGGCAATGCTCCCTTCAAAGCATCCTTTGGCTACAGGAATCCTGTCCTTCAACCAGTTACAAAGTTGGAATTTTGATTCAGGAAACTTTGTAGGGAACTGAAATTTTCATTAATTAGAATTCACTTATCATTTACTTTAAAATTGCAACTGGTATTGTAGGAAAATGTTAATTCCTTTAAGCTGTATATTGTGTGTGATTTTTTCTTATTAATTTTGCTTTTCTGATTTCACTTATTTCAAGGACCTGATTGCAGAAAATACAATTGTTCTTTGGCCTCATGGATCTGTGTTCAAACATTTGCCAGTGGAAACCCAATGCTGCATCCTGCTCTCAACGCCCTCCAGCCAAAGCCAGAAGAAGGTACCTGAAGTTGAACAGGCCACACTGATTTCTCTTTGCACTTCATGGGGAACTGAGTGGCTTTCTTATTCAAAGTGTGCTAGAAAGAGCCTAGTATAGGATTCAGAGACAGGCATTGGGTGATTTGGGAGGGTTCAAAGAAGCAGGGATTTAAAAAAAAAAATTGTGGATACATAGTAGGTGTATATGTTTCTGAATAAAGTACATGAGATGTTTTGATACAGGCATGCAATGTGAAATAAGCACATCATGGAGAATGGGGTATCCATTCCCCCAAGCATTTGTCCTTTGTGTTACAAACAATTCAATTATACTCTTTTAGTAATTTTTAAATGTGCAATTCAGTTATAATTGACTATAGTCACTCTGTTGTGCTATCAAATAGTAGGTCTTAGTCATTCTTTTTTCTTTTTCCACCCATTAGAAGCGAGAATTTAAGCTTCAGTCACTCCTATTACCTGGTGCAAGAAAATGTTTGGAATTTTGTATTTCGGCAAATGTTTTTGTCTTGCCTGTGTTCAGACAAGATTGTGGGATGATCCTACCGTTGTCTTAATCCATCATGGTCACAAAGTGGGCTTCTGTGATATCGATATTCTATGAAAATATTCCTATTTTATAAGAGAATAGCAAGGCCTAGCCTATCTCAGATATCAGGGACAACTTTTCTTCTTTCTCACTGGGTTATTACAAAACAAACGAAGGTCCCACCTTACCCTCATTGAGCTTACAATCAGGAAACACAGACAGGGATTAAGCAAAAAGTTAGTATACAATTAGTTAATTCCTTAACCTTGTGGTAAGGCCAGTGAAGAGTAAATTCTACAAAAGTCTGTGCACTAAGCTCAGCAAACTTATTGTGGGAGAAATGGGTGGTGTGGGATAATGAGCCCCAGAGAACACAGGCTTTTCAGAGGTTGAGAATTATCTATGTCCATGTATACTTTATTTCTATTTGTATGTGGAAAAATAAAGCAAGCATATATAAATTTTTTGTATTTTAATGCTTACTATTAAAACACCAATTACACACTCAGGTATAAGGACTGATTTTGAGATAAAGTTGCACGTTCACAAGGGAGCCCCCATATGGGTTTGAAGCCAGAGGTCAAATGCTCTTTTAGCCACTTTCTTATGCTGCTAATCTCATAATATCCCCTGAACACTCCAGTGGCAAGTGGATGTCAACTCAGAAACTTTCAGTGAAAGGGAAATATAAAAGAAGTAAGTCATTGTTAAACACTGGCATCTCTGTCTTCATCCAGGAACTGAAGGGCACAACGGGAGCTGCTGCTTTAAAGATGCTTCCAGGGCTGACTCACAAATGAATCAAACGGAGTGTGGCTGGCCTCTTCCTTATCCCATGCAAGGGTGAATGGGAATAAATATCCATGCCATTATCACTTTCCATGGTGCACCTTCCTGTCATGCAACTTGGCTTGCCAGTTTCAGGACTGGCCTCAGAATCAATTAACAGTGAATTATTTATATCAGCAGCTGCTGCAAAGTGTTTCCAGCTGTTGTTTCAGGAAAGCCATCTTGTTCTTTTCAAATTGTGCCCTTGCCTTTTGTACGTGACCAAATCCATCATCAAAAATGAATGCAGTTTTCTTTTCCTTTTCCAGATACAAAGACACGCTCCCACGCAGCGTCCCTCAGCTCACTCTTGGAAAGTTACGTCAGTCCTTGCTGTGTAATTTTCACTGTCATCTTGCTCGATGGGACTCTTAATGACCACTGTGTTTGATCTAATCTGATATGGTTACACATGAGATAGGTTCTCCCCCCACCAACTGCAGACACTTGAGAGTCATTTGTAGGTTACCATGCACCACTTCACAAGGGAGAAATTGCAGGATGGTGCCCCACAAGGACCTGCCCCCTTTCTTCCATCATCAAGCACTGCTCAGAAACATAGCTCTCTTGCCCAGTAACAGAGCCAAAGGACATCAGCAAGACAAAATCATAACAACTTCCAAAGAAGTTCATTGAAACCATATGGTCCTTCTATTGCTTTTCATATATACGCAAGTCCATTTCCTTTAGGAAGTTCTTTCACTCTCATGGAAGCAACCAGTCAATAGAGAAACTAATTTGGGAAAATACATTCAGTAAATATTAACATGCTAACCAGATTCAGAAGGGAGGCTTTCATTTCTTTATGAGTCTTCTGGGAATTTATAAGGGGTTCTGATGTAAGGATGTCTTGGGGAGCCAGGAGAAGACCTAGAATTAAAGTCTGCATGGGATTAAATTTACTGACAACTTTGGAGGAGAGATTGCAGGAATTTGGGATGGGGAAGGCTGTCATGAACCCCGAGCGATAAAGTGAGGAGCAGAGTTGAGGAGAGGATTATTTTTTCTCCTAAAGAAGAAAATGCTGGTAATGACTCTAACCCACCAAGGACTGGTGATTTTAACATTATTACGAGACAGCAGCATTGACATGGAATTTGCAGTTCTCTCCATGGGCTGTTAGCAGGGGTAGTGACAGTGCTCTGCAGTGCGACTGTTCAGGTATCAGAACTGGGGGAGATAAAGGCGGAACCTGGCAGTGAACAAGGACTAGCAAGTTGGTGTGTAGGTACCAAGGAGCCTTCTACTTGGGGTTCTGCAGAAAACTAACAATAAACAAAACAAACAAACAAACAGGAAGATGCTTTGAGGACAGCTGGGTTCTTCTTTTAGTAAGTAGAGAGGTAGAATTCATGGAATTTGTGAATAAACAATACTGAATAAACAATACTGAATTCATGGAATTTGTGAATAAACAATACTGAATAAACAATACTGAATTCATGGAATTTGTGAATAAACAATACTGAATAAACAATACTGAATTCATGGAATTTGTGAATAAACAATACTGAATAAACAATACTGAGTACCCTGAATTTGTCACAACTGAGTTGAAAGGGAAAATCGGTATCTGTGTGTATCTGTGTGTGTGTGCATAGCACAAACTCGCCTGTTCCCTACTTTGCAGATGAAAGGTATAAAGGAAATAATTTTAAAATTTTTACTTTCAGTGGTTATTTCTAGGAGTTGGGATGATGGGCAATTTCTCTTTTCTTATTTACATATTTCTTAAATAAGGTACCAGGAAAACTGAAATTGTAAGGAGTTAAAGATGAACTTTTTTTGAGAGAGTCAACAGAACATAACGTAAAGAATATTGTCTTATGTGGGTTCAGATCCTAGCTCTGCTCCTTGCCATTATAAACCTCAATTTTTTCTCACTTTTAAAGATATTATACTTAATATTGTCAGTGTAATTTAAGATATCATTTTGTATTTGATAGAGATGTTTTTGTCTGCAACTGACAGAAAACCTGAACACATTAGCTTAAACAAATAAAGATATTTTTAAGAATATAACACAGATTCCAGGAGTAGATAATCTGGACAATTGGTTTAGAAGCTCAGTGCTATCTGGGCCAAGGGCTTTGATTTTTCTGGGCTGCTCTCTCATAGTCACAAGATGGCTGCAGTAGCTCTAGCCATCACAGCTTTGTTCAAAGAAGAAAAAGAGGAGGAGACCTGGTGCAGTGACTCATGCTTGTAATTCTAGCACTTTGGGAGCCTGAGGCAGACAGAATGCCTGAGCCCAGGAGTTTGAGACCATCCTGGGCAACACAGTGAAACCTTGTCTCTACTAAAAATAAAAATAAAAAATGTTAAAATTAGCAGGGCATGGTGGAGCGTGCCTGGAGTCCCAGCTACTGGGGAGGCTGAGGCAAGAGAATTGCTTGAAGCCGGGAAGAGGAGGTTGCAGTGAGCCAAGATTGTGCCATTGCACTGCATGCAGCCTGGGCGACAGAGCAAGACTCTGTCTCAAAAAAATAAAATAAATAAAAATTTAAATTCAAAAAAATGTTTAATGAGGAGGAAAGTAGAGGAGAAGATGGTGTATTTGACAAGCAAATGTATTTTCCCCAACCCTGTGGCTGACTTCTGCTTCTGTCTCCCTGGGTAGAATGTGGCAGTGGCATCTGGAAGGCAACCAGGAAAAGCATGGTTAGAAGGCCACCAGAAAGAGTGTGGTTAGAAGGCTGCCAAGAGGATCATGGTTGGAATGCGGCCAGGAGGAGCCTGGTTAGAAGGCCGCGAGGAAGAGCGTGGTTAGAGATTGCACATCAGGTCATCCAAAGAGCGTGTGATCATCAGAGCCCTGTGCCTGACACACAACGGACAATTATTAATGCCGCTCTTATTCTTATCACATTTTTACAGGAATGATCTTTTTTCTTTTTCACAAAGTTTCCTGGAAGTGCCATGCGCATCCCTAAGGCATACTTGCTCCATCTATCCTTTTCCAGTTGTCAATACACAATGATGAGTAGAGTCACTTGCAACCTGCTCATACAGCAGCTTTTATCAGCTGAAGCCATTTTTCCTAGTCTTGTCTGGCAACGCTGGACATTAGGGATCATTTACTTGGGTCCAAAATGGTTATCAAGGGCTCCCTGGAGAAACACATCCTAGAAAAGCTTCCCTAACCCCAGAGGACTGACCTACCTATGAACAGCGGCTCTAACAGGCCCCAGAGGGATGCAGACTGCCTAGAGACTCACCTTCAGCCGCTCTGAAATGACACTGCGCTGCTTCGAAGGCTGAAATCCGGCACTTTCCATACAAAGGGCAGAGATCGCTGGCAGTTTTGCTTTCTTATTATCTGCTTAATTTATACTTTTCTGGATTCTTGCCCTCAGGCGAACAAGATGGTTTAAACATGCATGATTGGAAAACTCAAAGAACGCTGGTTTCGTTTGTTTGCCTTTTAGCCATACAGCAGAGGGGAAAAAAAAAAGTCATGCTGAGAATATGGAAATCTAAGTTAAAATCCCAGAATTAGGACATATTTTACCCATGTGATGTTTGTCAATAATAATCATGGTTGTGATAACAATAATAATTTATCTAAGGTCTACCATGTAACAGACAACATGCTAAGACATTTACGGTCATTATCCCATTCAACGATTGCAACAACCTTATGAGGAATACTCTGCTTTTTGGTTTTTCCCAAGATGGAGTCTTGCTCTGTCACCCAGGCTAGAGTGCAATGGTGCCACCTTAGCTCACTGCAACCTCCGCCTCCTGGATTCAAGCGATTCTCCTGCCTCAACCTCCCGTGTAGCTAGGATTATAGGCTCCCGCCGTCACACCGAACTAATTTTTGTATTTTTAGTGGAGACAGGGTTTCACCATGTTGGTCAGGCTGGTCTTGAACTCCTGACCTCATGGTATGCACCCGCCTCGGCCTCCCAAAGTGCTGGGATTACAGGCATAAGCCACCCTGCCCGGCTGGAATACTCTGCTTTTATCTCCAAATGAGGAGACTGACACTCTGAGAAGGGAAACAATGGGTCCATTTCCATGCACTGAGAAAGAGATGGACCTGGGCTTTTTAATTCACATATGTTCTCTGTTTCTCATCATCAGGCCACATTCTGACTGGCCTGTGCCCGTCTTGTAAGCATCTCCTGTACCAACCTCTAATTAAACCCATTAAAAATATTACACTTGCCACATCTCCCTGAGGGTCCAATAAAGTTTCTTATTAATTCTTATTTAACATCGTGCAGCATTTAGCTCAATTCTAGCTCTATGTTCTGATTCTTTCAACCTCAGAGAAATGACTGCAAAACTCAAATACTTCCCGCTCTGTATTATCATCTGGGAGTTTAGCCAAATAATGTCTTTGGAGCTGAGGGAGAAGTGAATCCAAAGATGTCTGTTACTTTGTTTATTTCTAGAGAAGACTGAGGTGACTGTTCAAGGAATGTGCCCACCACCGAGGAGGGAAAGGAAGGAGGATTTGAGACAGAGAAAGAGAGAAGAGGAACGAGAGATAGAGGAGAGAGAGGTGGGGAAAAAGGGAGAGCGAGGGAGAAAGAGAGAGAGAGAGAGAGGAGGAAGAGGAGAAGAGAAGGAGAAGGAGAGAAGGAATGATTGAAACACCACAATGGAAAGTACACGGCCACCTGTGTATTTTCACAAATCTTTATCATTAGACACCCCAATTCACTGACATTAAGGAAGAAGAAAAACGTCAGTGTCTGCAAAGCACATACAATGAGGAGCGAATGCATGGAGACAATTTGCCACGTGCTGTGCTTCCCTTCCCTTCTCCTTCGATGTCTGCCTTATGGGTTCTCTGATCGCACTACTCCTGTCTCTGGGGACAGTCCATGTTTATCCATCAGAAGCAAAGCCTTTAGAGGTGCTCTGTTTACTTTGAAAACTTCTTAGGACACCCCTTGAGAGACCCCACTCTTCCTCTGCCCATGACTTTCTACATTAGTATGTAGCAAAACTAGAGATACGGAATCGAGGGCTGTCCGCACAAATGATGTTTAAAGCCATGGGAACAGGTTAGGTTACTTCGAGAGTGATACAGTGCCCCATATTCATATTTAGTAATTGCATCCATGCATTTTCTATTTTCCCCAGGAGGAAAACTTCTCCAGGGTAGCATATCCATCATGCAATCCTGCGTACCCTGCAGTGCTTGTCTGAGTCGGGGTCCTCATGGTAGGAATGAATGTGGAATGGCACGTCTGGGTCTGCCCCTAACCAAGGCAAAACATCAGATACGCACCAGTTGAGGGATAGCTATAAAATACTTGAGCAACACTCTTCAAAACTTCCAAAGTCTTCAAAAACAAAGTCTGAGAAACTTGTAGATAAGGGGAATTGAAGAAGACAGGATGACTAAATGTAATGTGGCCTCCTGGACCCTGGAAGGGAAGGACATTGAGCAAAAAATAAAGAAGTCAGAATAAAGTATACACTTTAGTTAATAATAATGTATCAACATTAGTTCAGTAATTGGGCTGGGCATGGTGGCTCACACCTGTAATCCCAGCACTTTGGGAAGCCGAGACAGGAGGATTGCTTGAGGCCAGGAGCTCAAGACCAGCCTGGGCAACATACTGGGGCCACATCTCTACAAAAAACAAACCAATAAAAATTAGCTAAGCATGATGGTGTGAGCCTGTGGTATCAACTACTCAGGGAGCTGAGGTAGGAGTATCTCTTGAGCCAGAAAAGTCAAGGCTGCAGTGAGCTACGGATGCGCCACTGCACTCCAGCTTGGGTCACAAAGTGAGACCCTGTCTTCAAAATAAATCAATACATAAACAATATTTGTTCAGTAATTGTAACAAATGTACTTTGCTAATGTAAGATGTTAATAATAGGGGCAAACAAGTGCATGGGTATCTTCTAAATTTTCCTATAAATCTAAAACCATTCTAAAAATAAGATATATTATTGGGAGAAAAAAGAAAGCTAGGTCAGTTGGGTCCTGCCTGGGGTTCTGTCCTATCTGGGCACTGAAATATTAGAAATACGATGTGAGGTCGTTCAGATTTTAAACTGCTGCTGGAGAATGTAAATGACTTCTGTCCCCATCAAAGCAGACAGAGCCCTCCAGTGGACACTGAAGACGTTTGCAGCAGCACGGGTCTCCGCTCATTTGCGTTTCTGTGACACTCACCTGCAGGTTGACTGGAGCCAACACATCCCACAGACACATGAATCAGGCCAGCTGGCCATCACCTGCAGCAAACGTCAACATCTGGTCATCCAAAACCAATCATGACATGGTTTAACAGGAATGAGTTGTTCATTTTACATCAAATTACCAACTTAGACAGCCTTTAAGTGTTCCCCCATTCAATTCTTTACCAAATTCTGCTAGTTGCAGCTTAACTATAGATGTAGATGGTCCACACCTCATCATGTCCATCAGCACCAACCTCGTCCACACGACCATCTACCCTCCTATCTGAACAACTGCGAGAGCCCCAATTGCCCTCAGATCCTCTCATGCCTCTGCCAGAGCAATCCTCTTACAGAATAAATCAGACCTTGCCCCTCCACTTAAATATCTTCAACAACACCCGTTGCATCGGGAACAAAATTTACAAATAAAGAATTCCAAGAGTGTGCAATAGACCCCAGCTCGCACACCACCTCCGCCCTCCATCTCCTGCCCCTTCCTCTTGCTCACTGTGCACAGTCTTGGGGTCACTCATTGGAGACAAAGCAACAGTCAGCCTTCAGGAAAGGGGATCTCGTTTCGACACCTTCACGTAAGAAGGTCCAAAATCCTAGCTGAGCACACAGACTTGATTAGCATTGCTGATTGACTGAGAAGGCGGCAAAATTTGAGAGGAAAGCTTGTCTTTGGCCATTTCAGGAAGACACGTGTGGGTCACAGGTAGGACGGCGGTGGCAGCTGCCAGTGCACATGGCATAAGAGCCACCGAGCTGTGACGCTCCTGAGCCACTCATCAGCCCTGGCAGCAGGACGTTGATGTTGATGAAGCAGCAAGCATTGGGGGAGGAATGAAAGATGCTCCCGTGCCTCAGCCTTGGCGCCGTCTTCCCTCCAGACGCCAGGGCAGGGGAGCATCTACCTCCTCAGGTGACACGGACGCTGCTCCCTGGCTGAGAGATGAATTATAAACAGATTGAAGACACTCGCTTTAGGGACAATGCTCTTCCTCACCCCCACCCATAATGCAAAATTAATATGACGAGGGATGAATGCAAATCTCCATTCACATGAAGCAGGAAAGAAGCTTTTAAAATAACATTCATCTGGGAAGGAAGCATCGCACCAAGTGGAGATGCTTAATAAACCTCAAGAAACGCTCCCAAGAGCAGAGAGGAGCACTTGGCAGGGCCCCTGGTGACTCACAGAATATCCAGGAACAGCCTCCATCGCTGCCCTTTCCTGAGCACTGGGGCTTACCAGAGTGGGGAGGGCCTGGAGGATGAGCATGGGCTGCCTCTCCTTTCATACTTTTGACTCCCTCTGCCCTTTGCCAACACCGGGAGGCCATTCTACCCTGTGGTCTCTGCCTGGAACACTTTCCCCTCAGAAATGCCCTCAGAAATCCTTCACATTCTTCTGTTGTTTCTAAATGCCAGCTTCTCAGAGTATCCAATGCTGATTTATTATTGTAATGCTGATGAACTACTATACTGATTTTTTTTCCCTACAAATTTCTTCAGGATTTTCAAATAATACAATTAGATGGGTCATCTAGCATTTGTAATATGGTCAGATAAAAATTAAAACAAGTAAATAATTTTAAAAAACTTATTTTTAGTAATAAGAAACCAAGCCCCCAATTTTTAATGGTTTTGAACTGCTTGACAGATGAGATTCTTGTTTTAGGATTGGAGTTTACAAAACTCCAAAGAGTCATTTGTAGGCCAATGTAAATATTAGTATAAATAGTCCTCAAGTAAAGTTTCCAAAAATCCCCTTAAAATAAGCAAGTGTTCTCCCTAAATTGTATACAGACCTTTTATTTTCACCACTTAACAACAATGAAGTGGGCTGGGCCAGTGGATCATGCCTGTAATCTCAACACTTTGGGAGGCCGAGGCAGGTGGATCCCTTGAGCTCAGGCATTCAAGACCAGCCTGGGCAACATGGTGAAACCCTGTCTCTACAAAAAAGTACAAAAATTAGCCTGGCCTGGTGCCACACACCTGTAGTCCCAGCTACTCCTGGGAGGTGAGGTGGGAGGATCACTTGAACCAAGGAGGCAGAGGTTGCAGTGAGCCAAGATCACACCACTGCACTTCAACCAGGACAACAGAGCAAGACTCTCTCTCAAAAAAAGCTTCTAACATTAGCTTACATAATATTGGGTATGTACTTACTGTATCAGTGCGGTTCTAATTAAACATCTTATATGCTACTTGAGTGCCATTTAGTTTTCATAATTTTAGATAAATGCATAGCTTCAGGCGCGGTGCGGCTGGCCTCCTGCCTGTAATCCCGCCTTTGGGAGGCTGAGGCTGTGGACTCACAGGGTCAGGAGATTGAGACCATCCTGGCTAGACACGGTGCAAACCCTTCTCTCCTCACTAAAACAATCACAAAAAAAAGCAAAAAAAAAATTAGCCGGGCCAGGTGGCGGGCGCCTGTAAGTCCCAGCTACTCGGGAGGCTGAGGCAGGACAACAGAGAGAACCCAGGAGGTGGAGCCTGCAGTGAGCCGAGGTCATGCCACTGCTCTCCAGCCTGGGCGACAGAGTGAGACTCTGTTTAAAAAAAAAAAAAAAAAAAAAAATAAAGCATAGCTTCATATAACATTAAAATGAAGCAAACAAGCAAATGAAACAAAACACTTGGCGCCTTCTCTTCCCTGCACCTTGCTCTCCACCCACGACACATTATCTATTGATATTTTTCACAGCAAAACACCTCCAAAGAGCCACCTGTGACACTCTTTGATGGTTTTGTCTCTTATTGCCATTTTGTTCATAAAGATGAGAGTCTTGTGATTTTTCTAAAGTCACCAAAATAATCAGTGCCAGAGCTCAAAACTGAGCCTGTCTTCTAAGTAAGCAAGCAATACACTGAATTCCAGCTGGGAAAATTAAACGCACACTACACACAGGAAAGCTAAAGTCCTCTTTGGTACCTCTTTCAAGACATCAGGCTGTACATAATAAATATTTACCACTTTCATGTGTTGATTAAAGAATGAATGAACTTTAAAAATAAAGTCCTTTTGACCTCACTTTTTCTTCGCGATGCCCCTGAATTAATCTGTATTGTCATCGGTTTGGCACATTACATAGATATCAATATGTGTACAGATACACACAGACATATATGCACATGTACGTATGTGCACTTACGCATGCATGCACACATATATATGCGTGCTGAAAGGTATGGTTTGGGTTTGTGATTTTAAAATTTTTTTTTTTTTTTTTTTTTTTTTTGAGGCAGAGTCTCGCTCTGTTGCCCAGGCTGGAGTGCAGTGGCCGGATCTCGGCTCACTGCAAGCTCCGCCTCCCGGGTTCCCACCATTCTCCTGCCTCAGCCTCCCAAGTAGCTGGGACTACAGGCGCCTGCCACCACGCCCGGCTAATTTTTTTGTATTGTTAGTAGAGACGGGGTTTCATTGTGTTAGCCAGGATGGTCTTGATCTCCTGACCTCGTGATCCGCCCGTCTCGGCCTCCCAAAGTGCTGGGATTACAGGCTTGAGCCACCACGCCCGGCCGTGATTTTAAAATATTATGCATTGTATCTATCCGTTGATTATTTAACCATGCATGTCTTTGTCATTTAGCCTAACATTTAGCACAGACCTGCTGCATCCTTTGGGCTCTCTGAGAGTTTTGCTACAGAACACCTATGCCATAAGATTATTTCATTGGTAGGTATCTCATTGCTTCTAAAAGTTCCATTTATTACTGCAATGAACATCTTTTTACATAGGCGTCTTGCTGTGTGTGTCCTCAGCTAACATTTATTATGTGCTGGGGAGGATACATTTTACAAGCATTATATAATTTTCAAACCACCCTTTGAGGAGGTGGATAATCTGGATTCATATCCAGTCCATGGTGCTACAGTGGGAATGCTACCCGCTGCTGGGATGTCCATATTCATGAGTGAGGGGTTCATCAGGCATCATGCTTCTCTTTCTCTCTTTAAGTTTTCCAAATTTTCTGTCAAATTGCATCAATTATTCTAGGTCTAAATAATGTACACTCATACACAAGCATAAATCAACTTCAGGTAAATGTGTGTGTGTGCAAGAACCCCTAAGTCGACCATGGTTAGAATTAAAAGACAGCAAATTCAGGAGACAGAAAGTAGAAGAGCCCTATGGAACCTAATCCTTAAAGATCACACACTCCACATTTGCTTTTCACCATTCTGAGGGGCTCAGGAAAATCCTAATCAGCC